GATCCAAGATCAAGCTCGGGCACGGTCGGCCGAGACGCCAGCCTCGCAAAGAGCATGGGCGAGAATGTCCTCGACAGGAAAAACGCACAGGAGCGTCGAGGAGACGACTGTGCCGTCGATGACGGCACTGGTGGGTTTCGAAGACTCAGCGTAGCTGCCGGACTCACGATTAGGGGGCCTCTTCGACTTGGTGTCTGGGCGGTAGCTGGTGTGCGCGGGAGCACGAGGCGTGTGGCGTCCGCGTCGAGGCTGGTTGGGTAGCTGGTCGGGGAGCTCTCTGAAAACCTCAGACTCGAATCCTCGACGTCTGGGATAGGACTGCCGTCCTACAGTTCCCTCTCGCGACGACGTGGAAGAGTTCCAGTCTATCGAAAATAAGGTGCTGGTGTTCGGGGAGCATGTCATCCCAGTAGAACCGATGGCGGGGGAGATGCCTGATCTCATGGACATCTCTCGTGGAGAAACTTATGGTGTCCTGGGCGAGGTCGCTCAGAATGTCGTAGGCATGACGGACCCTCGCTCCGGCATGGGTGGTGGGGGCTCTATCAGAGGTAGTTGGATTGCGCTGGTGGCTCTGGTAGAAATGATTCTCGTAGAAGCCATACCTCCGGCGGTGGCAGGGGGAGGCCTCCGGCGATGCTGGAAGCGATCTCTCGGCGCGTCTGTGGATGTTCGAGCTCACCGTGCCGACGTTCGAATAGCTCGCGTTCACAGTTTTGCGAGAGAGACTGTTGAGACTGCTGGCCGTGTGGGGCGAGATTGGCCAGGCTATCGACGATTGGAAGCAGGGCAGCTCCCAAGGTTCAGGCGAAGGAGGCAGAAATTGCATCCCATGTCTGTTGGACGAGGGTGGCGCGTTGGCGCGTTTGACGAGGAGGCATCCTTCTCCTTGGCTTTTTCTTTTGTCATGTTGAGAAGCTGAGAGGCGTGGCAGTGCCGGCGACGGTAAAGCCCCTCTATCCTGGGAAAAGCGGCGCCGTTCATTGTTGTTAAATGCTCGAGGCACGTGCGACGCGCTACTTCTGGGAAATTCATGCCGTCTGAAATAGCTAAGTGTTGCGCTATGCCGCCATGATCTTCCCAAGGGCTGCACGTTGCACGTGCCTTGTGCATCGACGAACATTGCGCTACTTTTGAAACATGAAGGGGCTTTAGGCGGCGGGTGCCACTCGGTTTGAAGAAGGGTCTCGGCGCGGGAAGGAAAAAAAAAACAAACTCGGACACCCTTCTGACGTTTCCTCGCTCCTTCCACCACTCTCAGCCCGAGCATATATATATATATATATATATATATATATATATATTATATATAATACAAAACGCCAATGTCAAACCCCTGACTTTTTTTTCTTTCTGTTTTGTTTCAAAATCGTCACTCGCGACACGTTTCACACTAAATGAACAACATAAACACTATTAATGAACAGCAGGGCCCATTAAAGCCCCTTCATGTTTCAAAAGTAGCGCAAAGTGCGTCGATGCACGAGGCACGTGCAACGTGCATCCCTTGGGAAGGTCATGGCGGCACAGCGCAGCACTGAGCTAGATTTCAGACGCCATGTTCTTTCCAGAACTGGCGCGCTGAACGTGTCTCGCGCGTTTCCACAACAATGAAGGCGCCACTTTTCTCAGGATACAGGGGCTTTAGGGCCCGTTTGCTCGAAGCGCTAACCGCGGCTAAAGTTAGCCGCAGTACCTAGGAGAGGGATTCTGAGATCATGTGACAGGGATCGGTAGGGATGCGGGAAAACATGGCGGTGCCCCGCAAAGTGAGCGCCGCTCGCTTCGGAACTAATATTGCCGCCCGCAGAGCCCTTAATTCGTGACAATATGTCGTTGTAGCTGCAATATCGCGCGCGTTAGTCAGTAACTAATGGTGCAGGAGGCTTTCGCTTTGCCTTACCTCACTTAAATCGCAAAGCATGAGCAATGACCTCGCCGCATTTTTTAGATAGTATTTCGATTCTGGCCATTCTTAAGCCTAAATGAACACGATAATTGTCGGCATGCATGGAAACGTCTTTGGAAAGTGGATTGCCTTGACTCAATCGGCCTTGTATTGATAGCACACAAATTTCCCAAACACCGCGGTGCCTGCTACGAGTGTAGTTGCAGGCATTGCGCGTGCTGGCGTATGCAGTAGTAATATACCCGTTGCTCTGGGCAGGGGGCGCGAGCGCGTCCGGAAGACTTACGCAAGACGCGACCAAGTTTTGCTGGCTGCATCATCCGTGTGGCGCTGTAACGTTCGATTTTGCACGTGCCACGTTCGAATACAAGCCGCTGTCAGCATCTGTAGATGTGCGGTAACAAAACGCCTAAAAAAAGTTTAAAAAAAAGAACAGAATTATGCTGCTTGCGGCCGCAGCGTTCCATTAAACATTCCTTTCATATTTGCTTTCTTTCACAGCTTCAGCGAGCACGTATATTTCACTTTACATGATAGTGAAGCCGAAGCTACTCGGAAAAGCGCGTCATCCTGAACGATGCTCGCACTGCACGAGCGCGCGTGCTTGGCAGGGACGCGGAAAGCTCGCAGCTCGCTCTTGTAGCCTCTGCTACGCTGGAACTTAGAATGGAACTGAGTAGAAAAAACTCTAGTGGGGAAGCGTATTGATGCATGTTCGAAACGCGAGCCAAATATTCTATTTTGCTCGCCTGCAGCGCTGCTCAGAACTTGTGAGCTACGGGCCTATAAAGGAAAAAGTCTAAAACAAATTTTGCCTTGCACGCGCGTTCGTCCAAGTCTTATAATGATTATTTACTTCGAATCTTTTATAAGAGGAAGGACAGCGAGCGCGGGCCATAGAATTACACTTCCAGGGTTCTTCTCGATGCTTGGGTAATTTAGAAAAAGGTCTGTCGGGGCGGGACGCTGGTCTTCTTTTGTGTATTATTAATATCCGGTCGATTGAGTCAAGGCAATCCGCTTTCCAAAAACGTTGCCATGCCGACAATTATCGCGTTCATTTAGGCTTAGAAAGGCCAGAATCGAAAGACTATGCAACAAATGCCGCGAAGTCATTGCTCGTGCTTTGCGATTTAAGCGAGGTAAGGCAAAGCGAAAGCCTCCTGCACCATTCGTTGCTGACTAACGCGCCCGATAGTGCAGCTACAACGACATATTAGTTACAAAGCGAGCGGCGCTCACGCACCGGGGCGCCGCCATGCTTCCCGGCATCCCAGCCCCCAGTCACGTGATTTCAAACTCCCTCTCCTAGGTACTGCTACTAACTTTAGCCGCGGTTAGCGCTTCGAGCAAACGGGCCCAGGTTTTCTTTTCCCCCAGCTCTGCATGATGGCCAATTTACCTCGTTTCTTTATACTGGCTACTGCATGTCAGGAACATCGGTGGTTTTGATAGAACCGAGTTGGATGGACATCTGAGAATTCGAACTTATTAGTTAATACACTGAAAGCGACACGTACTGAATACATGTAGCGATGTAGGAGTGTGGCAGATTTAGAACTATAGAATTTTTTTAATTATAAGCTCGACCACTAATTCAATCTGAGTATTCTTAATCCTAAAGTCAGATTGAATGGAAATATGTAACCAGATGCACCAGTCGCTGACAGTAACTCTGTCAAATGGCCACAACAATTTAAGATCCATCCTCCAGGTCATACTTCAGAAAAGCTAATAGTTTATTTTTCGGTTAATATTGGTTAAAACCGGTTACCGGTGAATAATTTACGGTTCCGGTTCCGGTTACGGTTTTTATAAATATCAAATAACGGTTTCGTTCCGGTTACGGTTACAGAAAAAATTTCGTTCCTATACGGTTTTCGGTTTCGGTTACGGTTACGGTTTGAGTCCCTGCTTTTTTGGCCGCGGTAAACACACCAGTCGGAGACGCCTTCCAGGCACCATACTTCCAGGAAGCGTGTCGTCCATCATAGGTCGGGTGAACGAATGAATGGTATTGGCTATGCCCTCTGTATCGGGCGGTAGATGGCGCCACATTGGGACCACCTAGCCTAGGAATATTTACATTGCTCCCGTTTAATTTGTGCTAAAAATTCCGTCTCTCGTTAACTCATCTACCTTACCAATTTTATGTATTACCATGCTTCGATACAACTTCTACAGCAATCTACAAACCTGCTTGCAGTGTTTGTAACCATTTGTTCCTTCGTGTTTTCATCCTTGTTAGCAGAACACAGTGCTACCGCAAAAATCTGATACTCTTGCAGGATGCGGGACGAATCCCCCTGCTCTTCAAAACCACGTGCTCTAGCGTCTCGATATTACAATGGCACATGGCACATATGTATCTATCTTTTGAAATGTATTAGGTCAGGGCGTCGAATAAATATTTTAACCCGATTAATTGCCCCGTTTAATCGATAATTGAGTCAATTAATCGGTCTCATTTATTTCCGTGCTTCATTTTCAAAAGTCAAAATTACATTTTTTTTCCTCTTCTAAGTATGTAATAAACGGCGCAATACACAATCTTGAATACGAATCAACTTCGATAAGTAGATAAGAACATTTCGAAGATATTCACAGATGATTAGTTCAGCTGCATGAGGCAAACAGGTTCGTAGATATTTTCCGGCAAGAGCGGCCTCCTTTGATTGTTCACTATAATCTCTGCTGCGCTAAACGGACACTCGCAGGGCGTTGAAGTAGGTGGTACACTATGTGCACTTGTATGGAATCAGAAATCTCGTCCTTACAGTTTACGTTCGGTTAAAATTTCACCTAAAATTTTCCCTTCATATAGGAGTATTCGGCCTTGTTTGCGTGGTGAAAGCATTTTATTTTTAATTCCTTTTTGACCGCCAACAGTTTACCGAGTAACTCGTTGCGGCTAGGGGGGATGGGGAATAGTCAGGTGACATTAGTCGCCTTTTGCCGGATCCTCCTGAACGTATATCTGAATAAAACAATTTCTTAATGTGAAAAGTTGAATCCCAAGGGAAAATTTTGGTGGGTTCAAAAGGCCGTATCTCGGTGTAACAGAAGTATTTTTTTTTTTTGTTTCTAGCAGGCGTCGGACACGGACTCGGGCCTCGGGCGCACCATCACGGCCGAGACAAGCGAAGAGAGCTTCGCGGGTGTCATGGCCCCTGCGAGGCGTCCTGGTGCCTTGGCCGCGTCCAGCGCGGACGACGACGGCGGCCTGGCGCACGAGATGGCCCTGCTCCGGGTGGAGCTGGAGATTGTGCGCTGGGAGTGCGAGAGCATCATCCGCCAGAAGCGTCGCCGTGATCAGGACCTGGTTGGCTCGTGGTCTCGACGCAGGCGGGTGCTGGACTGGATGCAGCGCCACGACAGCAGCGACACCTCCTACGACCCGTCCACGCTGTCGTCCACCTCAGAGGCTCGGGCCGCCAGCCCGAGCCCCACGTCCTCCGTAGAAGCCCTGTGCAGGACTCCGCCGTCGTACGTGGCCTCGCCGCGCTCGCAGAGCATGAACCTCAGCCCCGCGCCGTCTCCGGAACGCAAGCGGTGCTCTTCGGCCAGCCCCGTCCGTCGCAAGATGGCCGAGTCTCCTGTGAGTCCGATGCGGACGTATCGGCTGTGCTGTACCATAGGTGAGGCCCCCGTAGGCTTCAGGCCTCGGTGCAGCTCGAACCCGGTGCCCAGGGCGCCCCGCCCTCAGCCCCTGGCCAGCTCCCGAACGGCGACGCAGCTGAGTAGGCACCCCGACCAGGGCACGTCCTGCTTCCCGACGCAAAGCATCCCGTCCGGCCGCGCCGCATCTCCGCTGTCCGTCCAGGAGGACCGGCCTCGGCGCTGGTTCGAGGGACTCCTCCAGGACCCTGAGCCCAGTCACGTGTGCTCTTTCTCCAGCCCTCAGCGGCAGAGCCCTCGGTTGCAGCCCGTTATGGAGGCTGAGTGCTTCGGAGGCCTGGATTTGGACGTGGAGCTGGTGAGCGCGGGATACGAGTTTCCCAGGGACGACGTCCGAAAGGCGCGGCGCCAAGCCAGAAAGGAACGCGCCAAGGAGATTGCACGCACCAGGGCCGACACCACGACGTCGACAGACTCGGACGCGACACTCAAGCACCACGTCAGTTGCCACGCCTGCCGCAGGAAGGTGCCCAAGGTAGCCAGACCTCGCAGGGGACAGGACGTTAGGCTATGAGCGCGACTCAGATCCCCGTAGAGCAACATCAATCTCCGCAGGTTGCAGCATGATCATGGTCCGTGTTACTGCCGGTCCACGGCTACGATGCAGATTTGTTTTGTGAATGAATTGTTGAAGGGAGTAGCGCTAACAAGACAGCATTGTCATTGGGAAGTTTTAGAAGGGCACATTTGCGGTCAAACACAGTTGCAGGCACGTGCGTCAAAGCATGCATAGCAGCGGTTGCGCAGGCTTTCCGATATCAAAATTCTGACTTTGAAGGTGAGCTACCAAAACTTTCAAAATTGTGCCCCCTTACAAACGTGGGGAAATCACCATAAATCTACTGGGTTATATTTCTAGTCAGAAACTGCGCTTCTGTTTCGGTTTACAATCTAACCTCCAGCGCGATACTGGTGCCATGGCGGTTTCTCCGTAAGAAAATAATCTTTAAAGCCGTCTCTAGTATTCCTAATCTAGTTCTTAGCGCAACGTAGCGAATGTTAGAACGAATGAGTCACTTAAGAGTGGTCCTCTGCTGAGGTCAGCTGACAATGACTGTGCAGAATCCCTTGTCCATTCTACAGTTGATGCTTCTTGTTCAGCACTAAGGGCTCGCTTTTCTACACCACACTGCTGCCTATATCTTCGCACTACACACATAGACCAATGGGGTGGCTTAAACGCTAGAACACGAGTTTCCATTTTTATAGTGTCATTAATCAAACATTTTTCTGCCCGTTTAAACTTCATCTTTACAGATATGGTGCCTTACTGGCGGAGCATTGCACGTGCACTTCGTTGGCTATTACTATCGGCAGGGACTGCTGGTCTGCCTCTGGCATTTCGGCTTCTAGCGTGCTTGTTGCACCGGACAATCCCGACTTATTCACTGTGTTTCGAGGGGTCTCAGAAGAAAAAAACAAACGAAAACAACACACGCACACACAGCCTCCGGGTCGAAAACGTACCGGAGGGACAAAATCATGGACCAGAGAAAACGTTTTTTTTTTTTTTTTTTTTTTCTCATGAATAAAACATTTAACAGGTGGCGCCGCCGGTTGTTGAACCCTGACGAAACGAATCTTGCTGTATGAGGACGGAATGAATAAGGAGGAGACTTTGCAGGTTGTATAACCCCGAAGAAACCCATTGTTCATGTAACACGCTTCATGTTAGCACGAAAATAGGAAGGTAAGGCAGTCCACTGTATAATAAGATGAGAAAATGGGTTGGACCAGAGGTACCCTAAAGTTTGAAGCGTAGAAGCCACAAGACCTTTAAGATTGTATTTTACTTTTATGATAGTGTAAAGGGGGCAGTGGCATGAGATGCCATCACTTGACTTATAGCCAGAGTCTGTCTGAAGAAATATCAAAGCAAAACGTAGCAAGATACGGAGCGCTTGTCTGTCGTAATGGTTGCCTACTTTGTGCTCGTCTTGTGTGCGCTTTCTTACCATAATTGAAATTTACCAACCGGCAGTTTTCATCCCTTCTACAAGATACGGAGTCCGCGCTCACTTGTTGGCTGTCTGAATTTGTACGATTTCAGGCCGGGAAAAACCGAAGGTGCTTTTGGGATGATGTTTAGCACAAAAAAAAATAAATTCCAAGTTTTTTTAATGTTTTATGTATTACCTTGAAATTCGTAATCCATAATCCTCACTATTTTAGTTGTTTGTTTGTGACCTGATACACTTGCAATGTGGATCACGCAGGAAGTAATCTTCTCAACAAGAAGATATAATTATTGTTCTATCCGTGACTCAAGTATTTCCTTGTGCCAATAACTTTACGAAATGTCTCCGACTTTGGAAAGTCTATTGTCTCACCTTGTGTTGCCTTTCCTGCAATGCGCGCTGTTCAGAATTTGAAATGATCGAGATTACATTGTTTTGAACTCAAAGCAGAACTTCTACTAGTTTCCATGCCAAGATAATAACAAATGTGTGTAAATGACATTCATTTATGCGTTTTAGGTTGATGTTTACTTCTTTCTTAGAATAAAAAAAAAGTTGAACCTTTATTTGCAAAAAAAATATGTACACACGAGAACCTATATTATTTAGTTTTATTAATCTGAACACTCTAAACATATATATATATATTTTTTTTTTTTTGGCTTTCGGCGGGTTTTTGAAAACGTTGATTCTTTGATTCATTGGATTAAGTACGGTTCATTCATCTGCACATATTTGTTTATATATATATATATATATATATATATATATATATATATATATATATATATATATATATATATATATATATATATATATATATAACATTCTGGTCGTGGCGCACCGACAATAAACGCTACAAGCACCACAAAGGTTCCTTCTGAGATTTTGCGTACAACGCTTAGCGACATCCCCGATGAATAGCGCACGATTCACCAACACTGAGCGAAACGTATTTGCAAAACTCTGAAGCGTTATCAGGTGTGACATGTGTACATGGCATGAAACCTTGCTCACATGAAGACTGAAACGCTCAATCTTTGTAGGTCTCTTCCTCGTCAAAGCCCTGTCTTTCATTCAGAAAATCTTAAATGCCACAAGGTAGGGCGATAGCCAGATTTAGCGAGACGTTTCTTCAACTTGCAGCGCCAACTGCACCTACGTCGCCACCAAAAGACAAAATACGGTCACCACAAGGTGTTTGTTACCCATCTCTTCACCTTGCTCGCTGGTTGTAGCCCCCAGAGTAGCGTGAATTGTAAGTCGGAGGCACAGGAGCTTTGTCCAGTGCAAAATTTCATATTATAGTGCATCCCTCAACCATGCATGCACGAAGATAAAAGGTTGCGCGCGTGCCTGCGCTATTCCTTTGCCGGGCATCTAACGCTGATGAACGGCTGCACATGGGTAATGCTTGTTTGTTTTTGCAGTCCTCTACGTAACAGGTTACTGACCCTATTGTTACAAGGGAAGAGTGGAGAGGGACACTCTTTCAATCCATCCAGCGTGGAGAAAATGTGTGACAAGTGAAGTGTGTGTATGGTAATACCTGCTCAGGCTTGTAAAACTGCAAAGTAATAAAACCAAAACATTCCACGTTTTGTTTCCAGCACCAACACGGGTTGTGATGTCGATAAAGACTATTAAAACACTTTGGGTTTAGTGCGTTGGTAATATTCATTAAACAGGAAATAATTAAACCTGGAGGCCGCAGGTAGAAGGAAATTGTCTTGCCTGCTGTCGTTATAGTTAATCTTTTCTGTTTAGTCAGTATTAGAAATATTTTTCAGAAATCAATCGCCGGTTTTTTGCGAGTAATGATACCATGGTTGGAACATCCAAAGGCAGTTTATTTGTACAAATGTTCGAAGAGCACCGTTAAATTCGAGAAGGAAATGCCGATATTTACACGAGAACTGTACACTTCATACAACGGAAATAACATCACCTGGATACGAGGTATTAAAAAGAAGGGGAACAACACAACGTAAGCTCAACTGTACCTTGTTTTGAGTGCCCCAAATCTTTTTATCTGGGAAAGAACTACCATTTAATTTTCCCTGTGGTCAGAACACAGATGAGGCGCAAAGTGTATGTAAGCAGCACCCAAGAGGATGCTGTTGGACAAGGCTGAGCCAGCTGTCGTATCATGTACGGTCTCCCACGCAGTCCATTTCTCAAAAACCAACGGAACCTTTTCTTCAAGGTCGAGAAAGCAGACACTGTCTACTACTCTACCGCCTTCGACGGTTTTATATGTGAGTAATGAGGTTTAAGATAGAGCTAAATTGATCGGCTCCTTCCGTATTGTGAATGAGGAAAGAGACCACAGAGGGGATGCTTTGTTCTTCGAGTAGCTAAAAAGGGGCGATTCCGCAGATTTTGATAGCCTTTGACTGGATAAAATGTAGCTCACCAATTTGATATGCATTTTTTAACGTCGCGCTAAATTCTTTCAGTAAACAAAACGCGGAGTGGCAGAATTTTCTGATGCCATCATCCGGGTAAATTTGAGAGCACGACCTAGGCAACTCTGACATTTGTACGCGGCTGTTCATGTCACTGGCGGAAGTCACTGAAGTGAAAGCTCTTGGCACTCGTGCATTCAGCACGGTCGCCGGTCGCTGGATAAAGACATGCGAGAGCACATTTACTTTTTCCGAACTGTCTCTGAAAGTTCGATTCGCATGGAAACATTTGATTGCGAGTGAGCTAGCGGACTAGCAGTCAAGCCCATTCGTGGGTCGCTAGAAAGAAAGGGTGAAAACTAAAAGCCACAATGCGTGTCGCAAAATTTATTTAAGTATCGCACTAACTGACCATTTCTGCTGGTAATGAAAGTAAAGTCCGTGAAAATAAACAGCGTTCAAGAATAAGACACAGTTTTGAGAAAATACTTTTGGCTTAGGCAGCTGAAAACGCAGGTAGGGTTCCTCTTTAAAGCAGCACTGAAGCAAATTTAAATTTGTTGCGTCTTTTTTTATATGTTTCTAGGTCTCGGACTTCTGTAATGTTTGTATTTCACGCTGCAAAGCCTATCCTTGATGGGGAACAGTATCGACACAACTGAAAAACAAAAGTTCATATCAGTGTTTTTTTCTTAACTGCAATAGGGTGGATCAACATCACCTAGAATAATCAAAGCCTGTGAACAGCCTCTTCTACACCTGCGTCACATAATCGAACTTGGATGGTGTCAACTGAGCAGTTCCGAGCCAGCCCAACTCCGAACGTCTTTTGATCAATTGACTTGACACAAGGGCCAGCCGAACACTGATTCAGGAATCAATTGTCGTGGCCAATTTGTGTCTGCGCTCTTCCTTACTGTGATGGCGTCGAAATGTCAGGGCTCGGGCTTTGATTACTCGATATGGTGCTAGGTGGGTAGACCGTACATGATAAGCAAGCTGATCACTCAACACCTTGATGGCGACCTGGTGGCATATATATTATGAAATCACTGGAACACGTCGTCCAGCAAAACTATCGCAAATAGTGACCACCCAGACAGTGGAGTCGTAAAAACCGGACTAACAGTAAGCATGCGACTAGGGGCACAGCAGTTTCTCGTTCACGAGCAGTTCGTTTTCTCGAACCGTCTCCGAAACGCTTCAGACAGTGGTGACCGCCAGCAGTCCCGCAGCAGGCTTGACATCTTCCCTCTTCTTCCTGGACCTGTCCTCACCCACGGTGGCCGTCCTCAGTGAGGCCTCCCTCCTCTTCCGGTCCCTGGCCCGCTCCAGGTGCCTCTTGCGTTCCCCGCGGGGCCAGTAGCGCCCGGTCTTGAGCTCTGAGTGGTTGTCGTCGTCCGTGGTCAGGGCGGCGCGTTCCTCGAGGATCCTGCGCTCTCGCTCCCGGAGCAGGCGCGTCCGGGCGGGGCCCCGGGTGATGTAACGGCTCCCGTCGGAGCGCCTCTTGACTTTCCACTGGAGCGGGGCCTCCCGGTCCTTGGCCGGGCACAGGGCCTCCCGGAGCAGGCTCTGCTGCAGCCACATGGTGTGCTCCAGGTGCGCTCCGTTGGTGTACATGGTGGGCGAGGCGTATCCCACCGAGCGTACGCACGCCGGCTCGCTCACGGTCTTGGGGAGTCGCCGCGGTGCGCCGTTGGGCATCTGGCAGCGGCACGAGTCGCAGCTCCGCTGGCTTGCCACGTCGCGCACCTGCATAAAAATATCATTATGAGATGAGTATACGTGGCTTGCACGTGACATTATCGCATCATGCTGCTGGTCAGTGCTACTTGTTCTTGCCAAGAAATATTTCGGTGATGCGAAACGTACGCGACAAAAGGTGATTTCAGTGATTTGACCCAAACGGCCACCTGTGTGACGTGAATTCGAGCCATGTATGCATTTGTAGAGAAGGAATATATGGGGATGGCAGAAAGAAAAGGACACGAGCCGGAAAAATCGGTGTTTCCACGCAAAGAGCTTAAATTTTCATCAATGGAGTATTTAGTACTGTATTTACTCCTATAAAACTTAGAACATCATCTATAACGCTTTCAGCGAAGAGTACCCACACCGACGACAGTCGCCGGAGAGTCCTACTTGTGACGCCACCTCCCGACACGCGCAGCAAGCGTTGGGTCAAAAGCAGGCGACGCATAGTACCAAGGAGGTTAGAAGTACTAGAAGGAGGCACATTGTAATATTGGTAAAGCCTAGTCATAAAAAGTTTAAACTATATTGTGCCCAACGTGACCGCAGATCTCTCTGGCGATTGGTGCGCTTGACGTGTCACGTGCGAGATGGATGGCTCGTGGCGAGATGGATGGCTCATTGTAGAAAGATTCCTTGCAGGCTTGCGCGCGCTCCGTCCGGTAGGTTTCATCAGATCGAAGGCTGGGTACGGTCACGTGATAGGGTCACGTTGGGCTGATAAGTGAGGAGAGTAAGGAGGAAAATGAGAGAGAGGCACGGCGTCGAGGGAGCATTGCTTGTGGAGGCTACGCGGCTGACGTCATGCACTCTCCTACCCTTCTATCCTCCTTGCATAGTACCGATTCGGTTAAAAAAAGCAGACGACGCAATACCGAGTGCTTGCTGCGCTTATCGGGAGATGGCGCCACGAGCACAACCCTGGTGCTGCTTCGTAGCGCGACGTTGGAAAAGGCAAGGGTTTTCTCATTTTCTCAGAACTGTAGAGCTGTCCTTTGTAATTTCAAAAGGTAAAATCTGCAACTAGAATATCTCCTCATGAACATTTGCTTCAATTGCAGACGCCGCTTTTTTGCATCGCTTCACAGATAGCCCGCCTTTTTACGTTTCTTATATCATATAATTATGATTTGATTAACTGTACTTCAAGAGAGTAAAATGCACATCATAAGTGCCTTGTGAAAGTTTGCTGTGAGTACGTGAAAAACAGCAGAAGAGACAGCTATGATTTTGAGAATTATGACCCAATTTCGTCAAGTTCCATCCGCTGATGTGGCCACGTGGTATTGCTCGTGTTTTGTTTCCACATGTGCATTATAACTATTTTCTCCAGCTCGCAGAGCAGGGTATTGCCAAACATCAACACCACTTCAGTAATAAGAAAATATTTACATTTGAGTTGCACAATATAAGCTGAAACAATCCGCACGTATATATATATATATAGAGGGTGTTTCAGAGAACGCAGGCCAAATCGCTCCTGCGAAAACTACTCATCGCAACGAAAAAAGGTTGTGGCGTTGTGGTCCTGGGCCAGGGACCCATTTAAGAAAATTATTCAAGTCCAGGATAATATATAGTTTTGACGAATTAACTTTTTTTAATATTGTGTTTTAGGGCATGGTTTAAATTAGAAAATTGCTCAGCATCATCGAAAACAACCAAACCAACGAATCGGAGAACGATAGAAGGCACGCGAAGCATTTTATGGCTTTCTGAAAAACCGCAGAAATTCGACGGGTTTTTAAGTTTCGGTTTGTTATAGGAGCGCATCTCGGCCCCGGCTAGGGTGACCACCTACCTGTGGGCGAAATGCGGGACACCCTGTCCGACGAGGGGGGGTAAGGGGTAAGAGGAGGAAGGTATTTTCACGACTCAAGAGATAAACTTTAAAAAATTAACCATCCCGCACACCCCGATATCCTGTGCAGTCCGAAAGCATATATTATACACCTGAAAATTTTGTGGCGGCAATTAAGGTAAAATAACTTTCAATCACAGTGATATATTTCTGTGTAATTGTAATGGTAAATATTTTATTATGAGTGCCTAAGTTGAAAACATATAAATCGACTGCAGCAAACCCCAATGCATAAAAGGGAAATAAGAAACAATAAAACTTTTTCGACCTATTGTTTCATGTCGATATATAGTAACTATATATATACTAATATATACTCTTATACTAACATGCTCTTGCACAAAATTAGAACCTTATGTTGTTGTTTTTACGACGCGTGTGAGTTGCAGGTTTTTTGCCTTGTGAGGCCGTCTTCACTAAAAAAAGATTTCTATAACAACCCTTTCGCATGATACAGTATGATTTGGAAATAATTACAATAGTTCATTTTCAACTTTTGGAGAGCAATTTTCGCTCGCAATATTTTGCGATCAAGGGTAAAGGCACAACGGCACATGTGCGTCCCTCTCCTGCAAGAACAACGGTCGCTTCCTGCAGTGCTTGTATAGAAAATGGCACACCATCGATATTCACACGTTTATCAGCGACCTCCGCGCAGCCCCGTGGCCCGTTCTTCGGAAGCGCCATAATTTGCGTGGTCGAATGCTACGGCAATGTGAAATGCGGGACATTTAAAAGATTTCGGTATTTCTTGCGGGATGCGGGACACGAGCACTCAATGCGGGACAGCCCCGCGAGTCGCGGGACGGGTGGTCACCCTAGCCCCGGCAGCACCGCGCCCCTTGGAGAGATAGTGCAACAACGCTCTGCTGCGTCGCGCGATGACAGCGCAGCAGGTCTTGCACTATCTCTCCACGGGGCGCGGTGCTGTCGGGGCGGAGATGCGCTCCGATAACAAACCGAAGTTAAAACACCCGTCGAATTTGTGCGGTTGTTCAGAAAGCCGTAAAATGCTTTGCGTGCTTTCTATCGTTCCGCAATTTGTTGGTTTAGTGGTTTTCGATGATGCTGAGCAATTTTCTAATTTGAACCATGCCCTTAAACACAATATTAAAAAAGTTAATTAGGCAGAAATAATTAACGAGTTAATTATCCCGGACTTTAATAATTTTCTTAAATGGGCCCCTGGCCCAGGACCAAAGCGCCACAAACCTTTTTTCGTTGTAATAAGTAGTTTTTGCAGGAGCGATTTGGCCTGCATTCTCTGAAACACCCTGTATATATATATCTATATATATATATATATATATAACGGGCATGGTGGCGGGAGGCCGAAGGCGTGGGTATAAAACTGACAAGAAAAAAACCCTTAGTGAAAACAGCAACAACGGACGATTTAATCTTCGACGTTTCGGTCGGAGTCCGGCCGAAACGTCGAAGATTAAATCGTCCGTTGTTGCTGTTTTCACTAAGGGTTTTTTCTCTTCTCAGTTTTATATATATATATATATATATATATATATATATATATATATATATATATAGCAAACTGATTTTCAACAAAGGTGCATTTTAGTGGCCTCCTTTATCCTGTGATGTCTGAAAGCGTTTCTTCGTTTCAGCGAAGAGACGCGAACAAAAGCACTGTAAATCGAAACGCCGGTCTCAAATGCAGGGATTTTCATGGGAATTCATCTAATGAGGAGCGGCGCACCCGGTACATTTCTTTTCGAAGAGTAAGTTTTGAAGTAGAAAACAAACTACGGGAATCAAGAACTGAGCTTAGCAAACTAGATTGCGTTTGAAATGCGTATATTATTGACTGAAGTGTCACAATAGTGCTTCAAACCTACCTCTTCTTTATGTGCAAACATTTAAGCATGAAAAACGAACTTTCTACTTTCTAGGAGGACAGCCAATGTGTGTAAATTAAAAATCGCTCATTCTTTCATGCACCTCGAAACTATACCACTACATATACCGCTAGGTTTCAGCGTACTCCTTCGCTCTTAGAGGGACCATGCAAGGACATCGAATATGAAGTTTACTAAAGGTTTATATTTTAATCAGGAGCCATAGAAATAGCACATAAAGGTAGGGAACATTAGCGTAATCTTGTCATAATATGAAAAAGCGAACCATTTTGTTGTCGTTTTATTCGGGAAATGTTCTTACTTTAAGGTGATCCGCACAGGTCCAAACCGTTCCGTGCTGACGGCGCATTAACAGATTGGACGCCAAGAGCAATCCGTCACAAGACGGCTCGTGTTCGTGGCCAATAATTGCGGTGGCGGAAATTGGGGAACTGTAAAAGTAGTCGAAGGGGGCACCAAATTTATCTTGACTATTGACGGCGCGAGCTGGCGAAAGAGCACCTGCTCTATTGTTCTAGCCAATTGTTGAGGAAGTGAATGCTGCTCAATTTTATTCAGTTTTTGCTTCCATGTATTGCGTGCTAGAAAACAAACACATGATTTTTTTTATCATGAGGTACTGTATTTAATGAAACGAAAAGAAAGTTTTGTGCTACATTTAAAGGCCTTTATGGCACAGATTTGTTTTAAGTCTTTTCCAGAATATGAACGTTACAACCAATGCTTGTTGTGACGTCAATGTTTACGTGGAAAACGTCAGTTTCGGAGTCGTTTTATTCACAAAAAGAGAGGGAAGATGGGGAACACCTTCATTTGAGAAAAAAAAAAAACTTTTTTTTTGCGTTAATTTGATCAAATACCATGTCGGCCAATACTGGTAACTCCCGCGGAGCATGGGGGAAAAGTGAACATTGCGCCCCTGGCGAGCTCGAAGTCTCCCCAAGCAGACGAATTCTTCACAACGCGTTGCCTACTTCCGTGCGAGGTGAGAAAGGAAAAACAATTTTCACCGGTATTTGCTGCTTTAAATGTTAAAAAATAGGTGCGACCTCACAAGTGAAGGATACTTTCTTCGCGTGCGAAAGATGTTACAGCTTGTAGGGTGGAATTTTCAGGCTGTCACGAAGAAAACACACAGCCAGAACTTACGTAAGCCGGGCAAAACAGGAATGTACCTTCGCCCTGTTTCTTTAAAAAGGGCAATGAAAAAAATTTCAGAACGTACCTACGTTTCAGTTTTACTGTTCTTATCGATAAATTCGTTTTGTTGTAGCAATTTCAATTTCTCATAAATGTATTGCTTAAAACCGTTTCGTCGAATAAGCGAGCTGGCTAATCCCGATCGTCTCTGGATGGAGAAGCAAAAGGCAAATTCAAACCACGTGCGGTACGATGTCAGTATGCTCTGGAAGAAGTCGATTGTGCACATTCAAATATGACGCTATTAGTAAAACTAACAAAAACAGAGGTGCAAAAAAAAAAAAAAAAAAACACCCGTTGGAGGGTCATGCACCTCCGACCATTTTTGTTTTCTTATTATGTTTGAGGAGATGCTACGCCGCCGCGGACTTTCCTCCTCCTGCGTTTATGTTTTGCTTTTTGTTTTTCTTTCTTTCTTGCGTTTACTTGACGTTCGCGTATTTTGCTTAGCCTTGTTCGGTTTAGTTTTTACTTCCTTTCGCTTGGCAGGCACTCGGGCTCGCTGCTGAAAATGTTTCATATGCCAGTGTTACAAAGAATTGCTGCCAGTTAATAAGGAAACCCAGATCCAGTCAAGCTGCGTCTATCAGCTTTATGCGTTTCTCTAAAATAAAGCTTTGATTTGATTTGAAAATGCGGTCTTCTTGGCACTTATCTGTCGGTTCAATTCTGGAGTGACAAAAACTGTATAGGAATCCCTATTCCCTAATTTGAATGACATAGCGACGATGCATACTGCGTGGTACGGCAAAAGCGAATGACCCGTTTTCGCTTTTTTTTTCCCGCTCTTCCCCTTTTCCTCGCAAGGTTCTTTGTGATATCTCTTTTGAGGAGATCTTTTCTTCCTTACCCTCAACAAACCGGAAGGCGCCGAGCGTCTTGCCGTCGGCGCGAGAGCGAAAGTTGCCTCTTGTACTTAATAGACGAAGTGCGCGTGCAGTTTTCCCCCGGCGACGAAACGCGGCGTCTTCGGCTCCCTGATCGACGGCGATTCGGGGTCTATGACCCGCCACTCTCTCCGCCGCACTTTGTATAGGGAAGATGTGTTTCAATAAACGCTGTTGTATCGGGATAGCCCTTTAGTACTGCGTTACTACTTGCACACGCAGCAGTCGATGAACAAACCCGGCGGGGCAGCTGCTCTCCTGGTAGCGTGGCCGTACGGTAGAACGGCTTAAACTGGGCGTCGAGTGATTTGCTTCGACCGAAACCTCTTCAAACAATAAAAGGGCATTGTCCTATCCAGCATGAGCGTACTGCTTCGAAGTTGTGTTCCGACATTGCGTGACCTTCGATTGTGGGCATGTAGCTCAAAGCCGGCAAAGAAGACCCATGAAAGATACGCCACCTCAAAACCCTCCTCTTTGAAGTTCTTACACTCTTGAAATGGCACACTTTTCGGACAATGTGAAGAATGAATCGGTGAGGGAATGTCGAGGTGAGAATAAATGGCTGTGGCTTTTACCTCTAAAGTAACCTAATGCATGAAATGGTGTAATTATGATGTGATTGTTTGAAATTATTTACAAAGCTCTAAACCGTCGTCTCAGAAGAACGTTGATTTTTTTTTATCAATTTCCCTTTACATTGAGGAGGAAACTAGGTGCATAGGTTACGTAACGTCAATTTCCCCGCTAAATTTAGAGGGGAAACAGAAGGTTTTCAGGTAATGTTACATTCATTTCTAAGCCAAATAAAGCGGGGAAACTGAATTGGTATATAGGACACGTGACGTCAGGTACGCGACATCAAACATATATCTAATGGGGAACATGATTTGGTGTGTAGGTGACGTAACGTCTGGGCAGGTGACATCGAACTTCCCGCTACATTTAGCGGGGAACGTGAACTGGTGCACACGTCACGTGACGTCAGGTCGCTTGACGGAATTATTGCACAGGTCAAGTGACATCAATTTCCCCACCTAGTGTGACCTAAACACCAATACAGCTTCCCCACTAAATTTAGCGTGAAACGCACGGACGAACAACATTTTAGGATCGGGGGTTCCGTTAAAAGGTATCTCATGCTTTGAAACGGTCAGGAATGCGGAATTCCCATTACAAAGTTGGAGCGACTTGCACCATCAAGAAGATAACAACAGAAGAGCGCTTTAAACCCGCTCGAAACTCACCAATTATATTATAAAAACGAAGAATGTGCTCTTGAGAGTAAATGTAAATCACAGGCTATGTCACAATGGTGGAGCATATACATACCTCGTGCTTCGGTTAACACTTTTTTATTTTTAGCTCCAACTTCGTAAGGTGCTTTCTTTGTACATGGTGATATACAAGGAGACGCCAGGCTCTTTAAATCGACCGGAAAATTTGGTTTCTTAACCTATCGCGCTACGACTTTGTGCAACGTTGCCCACAGATGGCACTTTTTTTTTTTTTTTTGTAAAATTTGCAAGGAGCGAACTTACCTGAGGAAACAGTAAAGAAAGAAAAAGGCTTAGCTAATGTGGAAACGCAGCGACGCCACAGGTTTTCAAACAATACGGCGCCGTTTCGCACGGGAGACAAGAGATGGCGCAAGCGGCGCAAGCGGTCGCGACGCCAACTGCCACCAACGAACGAGCAGACGACGCCGAGAACCGGCGTGTTTAGCTGACAAGGAACGGCAGTTCCTTGTTACCGCGCCTGTCGTCGCCTGCGGAACGCGCCGCCGCTTTTGAGTCGAAAAGATTGACTGCTAAAGACGTTGGCTCTCGGCGCCGTATGCTCGTTCGTTGACGGCGTTCGTTGCGCCATCTCTTGTGTCCCGTACGAAACGGCGCCGTGTTGTTTGAAGACCGGTGGCGTCGCTGCGTTTCCATAGGAGCTAAGCCTTTTTCTTTCTTTACTTTTTCCTCAGGTAAGTTCGCTCTTCGCAAAATTTACAAAAAAAGAAAAAAAAAAAGAAGCCCTATTTGTGGGCAACGCTGCACAAAGTCATAGCGTGATAGATTCAGAAACCGAATTTTGCGGTCGATTTAAAGAGCCTGCCGTCTCCTTGTATCACCCTGTAGATCCCCGGGATCGACTCTCCACGCGCTCTGTAGATGTGCCAACATTTCAAAAGTGCTTGACTTCAACTTTGCTAGTTTCCATCAGTCTGGGTTATTGCATAGGGATTGTAGAGGTCACGTATCCGAGCCGTATGTAGGGATACTTTGGTCAACAGGAAAAGCAAAATTGTGGATACAATCGCAGTGGCAAAGCCATCGCAACCGAATATTCGCCCCGCAGTTTTAGATTCAACTAAATGTAACACATATATTCTATTACTCGCAACCGAAAAAAGAAATACATAGTGCATCACAAGTGGGAAAAATAATGGAAAACCCAAGATTGAGAACAGATTAAGAATAAAACGGACAAGCACACACACCGTCTAAAACATGAAGGTAGTTGCCTGCGTTTTTAAGCCTTTGGTGTGAGAGTAGCATGTAAAAATGTCAGAATGTGAATCGGCAAACAGGCTAGCAGGCTAGCAGGCTTTGATGCCGGGCCATCACGTCCATAGTATTTGCAGTAACCATGCAACCATTTACACCGCACACGTTAAGACGGTGTAGCCTACTGAAATTTACAGTTTTTACTCATTACGACCGTTAGGATATTCCTCGCGGCCAGTGGTTGGCCAGGCAATCTCTTTGCGAACACTCCCAACTAGAGCTTGGCCAATGAGATTCCCTCATGTTCGTGTAGGTTGGCGCGACGAATGACCAAACTTTCTCTACATGTGACCCTGGCAGGAATCGGAAGTCGGGCCTGATACTGTATAGTCAAATAGAGGCTAATAACGCGCCAAATAAGCACCGCCAAGTACAAGCCACGGCACCAGGTCGCTCAGCATACGAACCCTGAAAAGCAGTACTCATGATGAGTTAAATAACGTTAATGCCACCCATCAATGCTCAAAGCTTCGGTAGTGGGAAATTTGTGATTCACAGAGCAATAGTCTCTGGCGGTAAAAAAAAGTGTGAGAGGAGCTTTTGGTGCATTCTTGACTTATATCTATCTATAGTGTTTCTATAGGGAGTATTCACTAGCCTCCATATCTCTGAGCTTTGCGGTTTAGTCCGTGTTGACATTCAGGGTTTGGCAGATATATTTCGCATTGTCAAAACAGTAGTTTATGGCAGATTATAAGTTGGTTTGCCCACGTGTGCTACGGTGCAATGAGCGTGTCTTTGACTGGTGTGTACAGCGTTCTATCCTGTACATACATGAAATGCGGTTCCAAAGTGACAAGAAATGACGTCACAAAAGCCGTCGCGTCATGCTGTCTGATGCCGCAATCCTGGTGGATGGGCGTAGAAGTCCCGACAAAAAGTATAACCAAGCGTGAGTATCGCTGCCATCAGCTCCAACTCCTGGCTGTTGAAACGTCCCTGGACACACAAGCTGAAGAGCAACCTGCAAAGGAACTGGCGTCCACCATCTCCACGACCACTGCTCTAACACCACCAGGATCGCTGCAGGCAACAGCATGACACTTCCATGTCGTCACTAAGCGGAAATCAAGAAACCGCGTTTCAGTAAGCTGTAAACACACCCGTCGGAGATGCCTTCCAGGCGCTCACAGCTTGCGCTGGTGACGACACGTGACCGCATAACGCACAGCTATGGTTTAGGCCCACCTGAGTGTTCTTGTCCTGCCTGGGCGCAGCGGTGGCAACCTGTCCGCCGGTCTCCCTGTGCTGGCTGGGCGCCAGGGACAGCAGCGAGCCCGAGTGCCTGCCAAGCTCCAGGGTCGGCGGGGACGACGACCCGCCCGTGTGGTAGGCGCTGGACCCGCTGTCACCCGACGGGTCGCCCCACTTGGCTGCCGGCAGCCACTTGTCGCTGCGGAGCAGGGACACGCGCTCGAACTCGTGCGCCAGCACGCTGAGCTCCAAGTCTCGGTCCGGGGGAGGCTCCGAGACCTCGGCCTCGGACGCTTCTTCGGGGAACCCGTGGGGCCTCTGCGGCTCCTCGTCGTCCTCCTCCTGCGAACGCGCAAACGGCACCTTACACTGGATGCCAGGAAATATGACAACGGCAACCTATGGGGAGAATTCATGGAACACCCTATTGTATATTCTTGTTCGCAGCACATCCTTGGAACTAGATGTCATTTGTCGCCTGCCGGGAACAACGGTCCTGATTGGGTCCAACGCACGCTGAACCTCCGTGATCGAGTATTCCTCCCAATAAAGATACATACGGCGAGCAAGTGTTCCAAAATACGTCTTTTGCGCATCAGGATGCAAGAGGAGCATGCCGATAAAAGGGCGACATAGAAAACCTGTAGGGAACCGGCGATAACAGGGCAGCCAATCGCGCGAGCTCGGTCACTGGTTGAAGTTGGGGGGGGGGGGGGGGGGGGGGGGGGCGGGGATAAACAAAGGCACGAGGTGCGGAAAGAGCAGACGTACTTGGAGGCCTTATTTTCTAGTCAGACAATAAACTGGAGCTAGTTCTTACCATGCGCTGTAAACAACGACTCACAATATCGCATCTTGTCAATACCGCAATTTTCGAAGAGAGTGTCAGATTAAAAAAATACAGGTAGTGGTGACCCCCGAGTTGTCAAGAACGCATAAGACCCAATTCAGGAACAAGAATCGCGAAGACAATAAATAACGCCCTGTTTTCCTTAAAGGGACCATGAAATGATTTCCAAACTTCTTCCTTCTAAGCGTTCCTTCTCAGCTCAAAAGCGAGATAAGAAATTAAAGTGGTCGTGACGAACTTGGCACCAGATGCGATGACTCCAACCTTCCACCGTGCTTTTTAAGCACACCACTGAGCTTGTCATTCGCGAGTGATAATAAGTGCCGTCACGGCACTCAATGGCTACGAACGCGCATCCAAATATATTCGTCAACGGTTTGATCCTTGATGAGCGTGTACGTCGAGTGAAGCAGTGCCCGTGTCCAATGCGTGAGCTGGGCTCAGCTGACGTGCTTGGGCACCGCGGATGCATCACAGTGAAAAGGCGGAAATCTTTCGAAGGGAAGGAGGTAAGAAATAGTCCGCAAAATTTTCAAATTATCGTACCGAATTTTTTACTTTCTACCCTCGTGTACTAGTTTTCTTCTGGCCCACGAAACAATATGCGAATAGTAAAACCCCAGTCTAAAATCATTTATTCCAACCCAAAATTTATTTCATTGTCTCTAAGTTGCCAGTAACGATAGCACTGCCCGCGCGACGATCTGTGCCAGCCGACAAAACAATGAAATCTTCCTGTTGGCTTGGAAAAGGTTCAACACTACCGTTTGTACCGAAATATCTTCGTTTTGTGGCCACTCGGTGAGGTTTAACCTCGCCAATTAACTAATTATATTTTTGCAACGCTTGCTCGCAGCCATCTATATATAAAATGACAACTTAAGAAACGACGAACGCGGCCAGCGCCGAGCATGTTATCATGACTCTGCAGCTGAGATTGCGGTATTATGCTTGAAAAATGCCGTAGCAAGAAGCGTTAACATAAATCTTTTAAGCCGACATTGACTATAAGCACTCCTCGAAGCACCTAACTGTTAAAAAGAGAGAGAGAGAGAGAGAAAAAACCTTGCGTTCGAGCACTTTTAACTTAGTCGCTTTACATGGCGTTTCCTCATTTTCGTGCCGGAGATACTAACGAACACCCGAATTATCTCAACATGCGTCTTTGCAGGCAATCAACACCCTGTGAAGTTGGGAGGGTGCGTCTATTTCTAATTAGTAGTTTGCCAATTGACCTCAAACAGATTGATGCAGGCCATATTTGCTTCAAAAGAAATCCCTCAAATCTACAGAATGGGCCCAGCGAAAGTTGAAACCTAGTAAACAAAGCTCAGCCCTGACCTTTATCCTCTAAAATGCGCTAAGCATCCACTGGAATGCGCTAAGCATAACAATTCAAAAGTTCATTGTCGTACTGATAACGTTTTGAACTAGATGGCAGTTATGTCCCTCCCACCAGCTAACCAAGGAAATAAAGTTCCGGAGACAGTAAAGGCCTCTTCACACGGTGGCCGGTTTAGGCTGTGGCATTTCTAAAGGTTCTTTCTCTCGCTTAAAAGCGATCGGAATTGCTTTACACCGAGTGGGGGCGCAATCACGCCACTCCTATGAGTATACTGCCTAAACGATCCTAAACTAAAATTTGACCAGCGTGATTAAGGCTGTGTGCCAATGTACTCATACGAAATGACAACAGTTCGCTGACTGAAATATTTTTGCCTAACGATAAATAACCGCTTGTTAATGAAAAACTGTTTTTCGAAAATACGCAGAGGAAGAGGTGCCTTGCGGTAGTTTCTGCAGGCAGAGAACCTCAATGTCCGTACGTCTAGCTAGCCTGAAAATGTCTGAAATTCGACCCCGGAGCGAAAAAACCAACACGGTAAGATTGTGGTGCTTCCTTGGATGGAGTTGAAGTGCTGTGGGTTTGGTGAGGTTACAGCGACCCCACCAAGCTGCTGAATGAGGGGGAAATTTCCCGTTATGTACAGGCCCGAAGAGAGCGCGCCTTTTCAGTCTAGCCCTGCCGTGTTCACATATACATAACGGCGCTAGCTCAGTACTATTAGTCAACGCTGGCAATATCGGTGATCCTGCTTATGCAGCGCGAAATTTTCGTCATACTGGTGAATCAGTGCTGATACAGCGCTGCAATAGTCCTGGTACGTTCCGGTCAGCGCTGCGTCAAAGCAGCTCTTAGTGTTGAGTTAGAGCAGCGTGGTATGTGTGAATCGACCTTTAGAGTAAAGGCATCTGAAATGACCGATTTGCAAGGTGTCCTTCGCGACTCACCAAAGCATGGGTCCTGGCTACGAGCAGCGTGAACTGAGACCTCTGTTCGGAGAAGAGCGCGATGGCCTGGTCCCTGCCCACGACGTCCGCCCCGTTCACCTGCAACCGAGGAAACAATGTAGTGATAATTAGTGATGTCACGAACTTTTGGCGAACCTGGGATTTGAACATTGCACACCGAGGTTCGACTGCTTCGGCGAACCATCAAGCTTTTGGGAAAGTTTTACGGAGTTCGATTGATAGACAGTGTCGCCCGACTGCTGCAGATATTTAGAATTTTGAGAAAACAATAATTTACAAGGTGCATTATTTTAAATCGCATACATTGATTCCTATGTCTGCACATTATAAAAGCAGACACATGCGCTTTTAATGGTTTAGTTAGTTCATTTTCTTGAAACAATAATAAATTTACACAATAAAGATGGTACTTTTTCTTCGCCATGTGGCGTCAGCTCGTTTTAAATTTTCGCACATGCGTAAAAAGTCGAACTTTAGTTGCATGTTAATCAAACTTTTCGTTGGAAGTTACAAAAAAAAAAAAAAAAAAAACCCCGAACCTGACATACTTATTGGCCCGGCAGTTCGTGATATCCCTAGTAATATTATATCTTGGAAACATGCCGATGAAAGAACCATACCAATCAAGCGGGAAGAAAAGTCAGAACCCATCCGGAATACAAAATTCGGCGGAACCGGGATTTCAGCTCGCGGTCCAGTTATTACCGGTGAGGTACGCTATCCACTACATCTGTCCGCGCCGTGGTAATGATATTTTTATACACCAGCTTTTTGTTTATCACAATGAGCTGGGTAAGAAAAAAAAGTAAGATTGATGAAGAATGTGTTTATGTGTGCAACATTTAGATACACACAGTAGCTAATCCTCTACACAATCACCGCACGGGTTATCGGTCGTTCCATCACGTGTTCATAAAGACATTCAGTCGTCACATACGTATTTTCTTTAGCCCTACCATCGCGGCCGTCTGTTCATTCTCCCCCGAACGTTATTCAGTCTCCTTCATACCAATTTCACGGCTGCGCCGATTGACGGTATTGTCGACGCATCATAAACTTACTGAGAAGGGAGGGAAAACGTTCCTTGAGGAGCGCATCCGAATTCGGTGCATCTTTATGATACGTGCCTAAATATACGGTGTAATTACGCGTATGAGAAGCTACAGTGTGTATTTAAATTTTGGGGATTTTAAAATATTTTTATGAATTGGTTTCACCCAGTTTATCGAAGCTTGAAAGCAAAATAGCCCTCGTAAATTTTATCTTTCATGAGTTACCACCTAACCTTGAAAAAGAAATAGACACACAAGCGCTCTAATGAACAGACCTGCAGAATCTGGTCTCCCTCTTGTAGCCTGCCGTCCCTGGCAGCAACGCTTCGAGAATCAATCTGAAAATAAGCACCACAATAAAATACAGTCAGTTCTTTGTCCACAAGGCTCGTTTGATCCTACCCGTCGTATGTCCGCCAATCGATACAGCCAGAAATTGAGCGATGTAGATGGTCGTTCCTCATACATGGCCAGGCGATGATGGCGAAATATCTTAACCTCCATTAGCGACCGTCGACCTGCACCAGGAAATGACTGAGCCCATTTACCTATACCTCCTTTTACAGCCCGGGCCCGGCAAACAATGCTAATGAGGCTACGACAAACAGAGCTATAAATAGACGGACGTCGGACGTCCATTGAAACTGGTGCATCAAGGAAGGAACGGTAGCGCCCGAGCGTGTGGTAACTGCTCCGTTTATAAAATCATATGCGATAGAACTATGCCTTGCACCCATTGTGCACTAGAGGTAGTTCTACAAAATAGTTTTATACAAACTTTGATTAGAAAATCCCTTCGCACCTATATGAACCACATCTGAAAATGCCGAATGAAAGAACGATATGACGCATTATATGCATTTTCCTCGATGAAGGAAGCACATGTCAATTTGTATTTGGGCATAGTTTTCTACAATACCTTCTCCATGAGAAGACACATAAGGGACCATTGCTTTCTTTCGCTAATTTATTATTTTTCAATTACAGATATTTCAATTAAATAGATGTGACGCATTACACCGACAATATTTTCGGTTTTATGTATATAGGATGAGGAAGATTGTCTTGAACCACTTAAGATTGTGAAGTCCGCTGAAGAAGCAACTTAATAAAAGATTTTACTGCATATGTGTCTTTCCTATGGTAATATGAGATATGAGTCGTACGGCCGCATGTTTTTTTTCTCTCAGTAGGCTAAGACGAGGTGAGGAAACCCATGACACAAAGGGCTCAAACCCAGTTGTAAAAATGGTATCGGCAATCTAATGTGCTGGGTTGCAGTCTTCCGTCAGCTTCCAAACATCTCCTGACAGACGCGAGGGTTTGCATTATGTATCCGTCTCCTTTCAGTCACTGGAGGGAATGATTAAACTGTTACCACCTGTAAATGTTAAATTCTTAATAAATGTTTCCTTTTCTCATTGTTTCCATACGACTGTGACACAATTTGATTTATAAAAAAACAAACAAAAAAAAAAACAAAAAAACAAGAGGACCCCATATTAAGAAGGAGACAGTGAATTCATTTATACAAAGCGAGTATATAAAGATTTGAAAAAAAGAAGAAAAAAAAAAAGCATGGAACCTTCTGAGCTGTTCGATCTAGAAATCATATTCTTTCTACCCTATAGAGTAGCAAAGCGAGACTACTTGCCTACGTTGATCACTCTAGGGTGCTTTGCTGCCCTCGTACGTTACTGGGGTTGTAAGGAGTTAAATGTGGAGCAATCGGAGCCAAACGTTGTCAGTGGTGCTTTGTCACTTAAAAAAAAGTGTTTTGATTCTTTCGTTTTTACGTTTAGACAGATCAACCTTAAAGCGACTTACATGATTTTTGGATCGCCCTAGAATGAAGGCACATTGTGGTTGGTCGACTGTTATGACATAATTACTACAACTCCGCGAACGTTTAACAAGAGCTGCGTACTTCTCCGATGTAGATCTCTGTCTCTTGCTCGTCAGGATCTCCGTAGCAGAGAGTGAGGCCAAGTTTCTCCGCACCGTTTCGTTGTAAGGTAACTTCCTGAAACAAAGAAATGTCGGTCAGGCCTATCTTCATGAAACGTTTGCAGTACAGCAGTACAAGTTTTACCTCGTCACCTGAAGAAAATAATATTCGCAGGAAATGCCTCTGAGCCTCATTCAAGATAATAGATGATTTCACTTTTACTTGGAGGCTCAATTTACAAAAATCTAACTAAGAGCTAGATCTTACACCAGATTTAAAAAAAAGAAACCTTAGATGCAAGTAACCAAACATTTTTGCTTTAAAAATGAGTGTAGGAATCCAGGTAACAATATCGCATGAAGCTTACCTTTATCTTGTATATTAAAGTAAAGTATTTCAGCCAAGAGTAACAAATCCTACAAAACGTTGCTTGGTGTCAATACCATACGATATTCCACCTTACTTTGTTACACCCACTATGCCCAACAAATGTTATTCGTATCGAAAACGAGCAATAATAGGATAATTTAAAAAAAAATGTCAACGTTTTAAACGCCGCAAAAAAAAAGTAGGAAATTTTACTTATGACAAGTGACATTGATCATAGAAGAATCGCCTTGGAATTAAGGTCATAAAGAAACCTAATTGAAGCGTTAGGGAATCAATTTGCCAGCCCAATCCATTTAATGGGCTAGAACGTAGAATTTTTAATATTTTCCCGACAAATAAAAATTGCAAAAAAAAAAATCAATTACAAACTTGGATATATTTCTATTTATTTTATTATGGCGGGCAAGAATGAAAGATATTGCGAAAGGTTGCCCGTAGGACCCGATTAAGAAACTATACCGTATTATTGCCGTCTATGATTCCTCCGGTGAATATAAAGACGTCTGCGATTGTTCGACTGGAATCAATTCGTTTAAGGTTTTTCTTAGAGTATAACTTTACGGAATCGTAGAGATTTAAGAGATATCCAGCGTGAGCGAAGGAGACAGCGGTGAGATTCGTGTCGTTGACCAAGGAAAGGAGGCCCTGACCTCGTACTCGATGTCACAGCCGTCGTCCTCATCCTGGTCCTCCTGCTGCGGCTGGCTGCAGTTCGACGCTGGCGGAAAGCCCCTGCAGACGCAAGAGTGACATGAATGTCGAACTACGCTAAGGGTATCTACGCTCTTTTCCCCGAGTTTCTGGCACCGCCACCACGATCATTGTTCATTCGCGTCACTTGACAACTGTTCAGTTATTTAAGCAACCTCGGGGTAATGAGCATTGTAAAAGGGAGTGGGAATAATAATATATACCAACGAAGACAACAAACGGTATTTTTCCACTTAGTTCCCAGAGGCTCAAAACAGTGAAGCGTGTTCGCAGCGCTTTTAAGCAATGGATAATTAACATAGAATACAATAGAAGTCGAAAGGTATTCACATTACAAAGAAGTTTCAGAGGCGAAAGAATAGTAAAATACATTAGTCTTGCAATTAGGAAAATCCACTTTGAAGTTATGGTCAATGCCTGGTGAAATATAAAAATGTGTTCAAGCGCCAGCGGCTTACAGGCGCCGCCTTAATGGTGCATTCAGCCGCACGGGCTCTGTTCGCGACACTTGTCGTTCTGAAACTCGACATTTCGATCTTTACGTACGGCGTTAGCAGATAATTGCGGTATTGTTTTGCTCCGTTGTGAACTGTCTTAGCAGGAGGACGAAGAGAAGCACTTCTTGGAGCTTCCGTCAGGCCCGGCGGCAAAAGCTGGTGACAAATGAAAACCTCGATTCTACTCGGCTATATGGATGAAGCCTCCTTTCTCTCAAATATAGCTTATGTACGGACACTACGTGATGCCATTAAAGAGGAGGACAGGGCCCCTGGGAGTTTTGATCGTGTACTGCGCATCAGCGCAGAGACATAACTATTCTTTTAAGGATATTTCGCGGCGCATAATAAAGTGAGAACCTGTGCGGTTACACATAAAGTATAATATTAGCGTGAAATATTTTACATCCTTCGAATGAGAAAACGTGGAAATTATTACTCTTTTGTTCATTATCAGTAAGTTCGGAAGGCATGACTTCCTCAACTCATCCATAGGCTCGATATTCAGCCACATAAAAAGATATGCCAGTTCTCTAAACTAAAATAAATACAGGAAATATAAAATAAGACGAGAAAAAAATTCTAATTATTTGATTCCTAATAACATACAAGGGTCTTTCATAAAACTACCTGAAGTTATTTTTAAAAAGATTATATCTAAAGGCGTGTATTAGATTTTTGGGGGCTTGAAAGCTGAGAAACTTCGAAAAGTTGCTCACCTTTTCAAAGCCGCGAAACGGGAGCCTGCTTGAACACGTTGACCAAGCAAGCTTACTGTTATATTTTGTTAGAGATGATAAATTAAGTTGTTATGAGCATCTAAATATGCATAATTATTCACTGATAATTATGCATATTCATTTACATTTTTAGTATTGCAGTCAATCTGTCTGCATTTGTAATCACCATACTAAAATTCTAAAATAATGATTAGTATTATCCATAAATCTTAATTGATAAGAACACCTTTGCGCGTTGGAGAGTTGATTGAATTAATAAAGCCACCATTCGACCTAACTGCTCTGTCTTTAAATGCATTCTTTAATCTCCTAACAGACACAAATATTCAAAGAAACATGTTTCTATTGGTTTCATTTTAGTACATGTTTTACCAGCAGAACTAGTTTGTAAAAAGCTCACGTATATTTCAATGTACGTTATCACTAGAATTCCGTATTTTGGAAGTTTATTTTTCGTGAGATTCGGCGGATTTTTTTCGGAGTTTATAGGTGTTTATTTCTGTTGACTCCAAAATCTACGAAGTTTGAAGCTTAATTCTGGCACTGTTTCTTATGCAAAATAAATAAATAATATCCGGGTGTAAACGTATGCTAGATAAAGAAAAATAAAACGCTCTTATATCAATTAATATTTTTTTCAGCTGGATTTGATGCTGGTGCCATTGCTATTGGCAATAGTAACTTGTCCCACGGCGAAAGCTGCACACATCTGTGGCTTCGATAAACGTCCATACCCTAAAAATAAACTCCAGGAGGTAGTCGCCAGGAAGCACGTATTCATCCTATCCTATTCCACGCTACCCCGCGAGAGTGGGAAAGGATGTAAAAGGGAAGTTTCAGCTGTCCCTCATCCAATTTTATGCAATCTCTATGGTTCATACCTTTAACTGTTACAGAAACACAACCTCTCCTTCCTCTTAAAACATAAATAGTATGGCGCAAACTGAAAACCAATACAGAATCTTTTGTCGTGACCGGAAAGTACAATGACATTTCGTCCTGAACCTTGACGAGATGAGCAGTTAAGATCCCTTTTTGTGAATGGTACGAGATTTGAAAGATAACTCTGGTGGCATTTTCCCGTAACTATTGACCCTGTGCGCTGATGAAACTTAATTGTAAACTACCGTCTTTATTTAGTTTAATTGGGGAAGGGGGAAAGGGCATTGACAGATTGAAATTCGGAGACTATTGGATAAATCCAAATTGACCAAAATTTTACCGGCGGGTGTTTTTTGGAGTTTTTCTGATTTATCCAGAAACTCGGAACCCTAGTTATCACTGAACACTTGGCAAAAACAGAATATGTATATTATATTGCGTTTAGTTTTGTGTAAGCCTGAAATTCTTAAATTGTGGCCCCTGGAGGTAACCTCACACACAAAACCTCAACTTTAAATTTTCATATCACTAAGCAAAGCTTGCGGCCACTTTCTTGTTTGTATGTTAAAAGTTTTATAAAATCAATATTAAATGCATATTATTAAATGGTATTTTTTTCTCAAGTGCTTCAGCCAGATTCGAGTTTCGGGTCCGGTCAAGCCTTGAAGGGCTTGTGTGGCCAGGTTCCGCATTAATAAGTCGATTAAAATACTCACACATAATCACGTGCACATATGCACCAAAAGCCACGCAATAATAATAATAATAATAATAATAATAATAATAATAGTAATAATAATATTAATCACTATTTATTTTAGTGCCCAGGAACAACCTTTCGGTCTTGGTACTGGCACACTGAATGAAAATGAATACATAAAACACACAAATACAGAAGAGCAATGCACTATACAGAAGCTGAATATTACCATACACAACATACGCTGAGTTGAATGATAACAAAATACAATTTCTAGGTCTCGTTGACAATGAAGAGGAATTGCAGTAATGTAAAAAGTCTGAGACGCACTCAAAGCGAATACTATACGAAGCAGTAGCACAAGGACAGACCCAATAATAATAATAATAAATGAAAAATGTTTACAAATCTCAGTAATGCGAAATTGAAGCGTGGCCTCGAGGATCAGGAGCGGATGGTACGGAGGGGAAGGTATCCTCTCCTCCTCCTCCGTACCCTCCCATACTCTTCCTCTCCCCCTCCTCCTCTCCTCCTGCCCCTGAATTTGTTCATGGGTGCCGTGACACAAAGTCGTGACGTCATTTTCCTCGCTAAATTTAGTGAGGAAACTGAACTGGTGTTGAGGTCATTTGACGTCAATTTTCCCGCTAAATTTATCGGGGAAATGTTTTTGATAACTTTAGCGGGGAAACGTCCCAGAATGCAACGCGTGCGGTTACGCCGACGGCGACACCGCTCAAGCCGGAAACGAGCGCCTAAGAGCTGCGCTCTAGAAAATGCAATGTATCGCAAATTGCCCTGCAATTGTGTTTCTACGTGAAACGCTCTTGGTTAGTAACCTCCAGGCACTTCTTCTCGAGCTCTGCCTCCAGGACTCTCCGCTTCTCTCACCCCATTGAATCCACCCATTGACCCCACCCACCCCTCTGGACCTCACTGACTCCTCTTCGCCCCATCGACTCATTGACTCATTGACCCATTGACTTTCCCGTTCCGATCGGCCTGTGCCCACAGAGCATGGGGAATGACGGGCTGCTGCCGGTCACGTGTCAATTTGCCCAAACTAGCCTAAAACGTTTGACGGTAATAATAATAATAACCATTATTTAGATTGTCCAAAGCAACCAGAATGGATTTTTGATTGGCGCACCTCCACAAAAACACAGTAAGATATATATTTGATAACATCCAATGTACAAGGCAATGTGTATTTTATAATGCGTTCATGAAAAGTTTCCTTCAGCTTTGGTGGTCTCCAATGAGTAAAGACTAGAAATATGCAGCTGAGTTAACAGTACTAATCGAATGTAATATTTGTTAGAACATCCCCGAAATACAAAATCTTCGGCGGTTGCGCGATTTTATCTTCCGGCGGTTTAGCAACAATAATTCAATCCGGTCAGTAGGGTTCTTTCATCTGCATATTCTAGAATATATTGTTTTAACGTTTTCAGACATTAGTATTTTGAGTAGTTTATAAGCATTGCTTGTGTTTCTGTAAATTCAGGTTACGCCTCAGTGTCGTTGTTGGATTTCCATTTATTAATGATGTTGAATTTCCATCCATTGTTGTTGGATTTCCATTTACGTTTTTGGATAAGCTGGATTTCGATTTATTTATAATGTACTTCAAATTATTTATTGACGTTGAATCACGTCAGGGTTTATTCTAGTTTGATCGAATTTTTGTCATGCCAATAAATTCACGTTCGCCGCTGCTTCGATAAGGATTTACATTATCTTGGATTGACTCTATTGAGGAGTAAATTAATATAATCCTCAGAAGATAGTTTAACACGTATTAAGCGTATTTTATAATAGAATTAATAAAATACCAAAAGAGGCACAAACACTGTACTGAGGTATTCTCGAAGTTGGTGAAGAAGATCTTATTGCTTGAGCGAAACTACACGTACAGTGCTCTTTTAGATAAAAAATAGTTTAACCCTTTGACGGTCGTCACTGTAGGTTTACGGCTGCGATTTCACATTTCAAAGTGCTCGCCTAAACGGGAAACCGCGCACATGATGGAAGGTGATGCTGTTTGTTTTGTCTTTGCCGAACTATAAACGTTATGTTAGCACGGTGTATCGCTCCTGTATTTATAGCTTAAAACTTTGAAATCTATTTATAGTTTTGATATTAGACGCTCGGCGCACGTACTGCGCGCTAAATGTTCGCTTCTCATGTCGGCTGCTCTCG